TCGCACGGAACCTTAATTTCATCTTGGCGACGCCTAATTCTCTCTCTCGCTTTCGTTCTGGAAACTTGTTTGGTCTGATAATTTTTATTTTATCGAAATTAATTGTTACGAAGATGTAGAAAAGATACAAATATGATCCAGAAAAGAGTTCGCAGATTGAACCCATCGCACAATTCATATTAAGAATGTCCTTATCAAGAATAAAGTAATATTTCAATCAGCCGACTTCTTTCATCTTTAACTCAAGTATTTTCTGCACTCAGTGGCAACATATTCTAAATCATTATATGAATATGTAAATTTAGTTAGGTACTTTACTTAACATAAGAAAGTTGTTCATGGCAAAAATAAAACTACAGAATAACAAATTGAATATTGTTAACTTTATTGAATATTGTTATCATTTTAATTACATATTAAAGTTTTGCCGAAAATTATATCTTAAGAATCAGAATGAGCTATTAGTCTTCTTTAATGATTAGTTTTTGCTAATTTTAACAAAATTTTCAAGTATTGAAAAACATTACTAACGAAACTACGAAACTAATTGCATATTCAGAAATGCGTTAATGCAGCTTGACTATCCTAAAAATAAACTAACTAATATCTTTCTAATCTAAAAATATCTTTCTAAATTTAACTTGAACAACATAATAAATAAGCACAAAGGGTAAATTAGTATGAAAAAGTTATACTTTTTTATTTCCTAATGGCAGATTGTGAACAGTTGCAGTGTAACCCAGTCCATTAATCTATACAAGGCCAGATGTGGTGGTCTCTTTATTATGGAATGCATCTAATAGGTGAGCCACCATCGCGTCCTATTAAGGGACAGACAGTTACAACCATGACTTCTCCGGGATTCGAACCCAGGCCCTTCGGTATCGCAGTCAGGCTTCCCTAGCCACTAACCGTCTGGGCGACTGAAAAAGGGATATAGTGTAAAGAAATTTTGACAGATAGCCACCATCTAGAAAAAGTCCCTGCGTGAGGCAATAGTTTTAACTATTATAATTTGCTAACTAGACATTCTATTAACAGTATCGCCTTCGGGAAAGTATAACAGATAACAAAATTTAATTTCGAAGTTTATATTATAATTAATGCAAAACGTCAGTTGCAATATGATTTAAACTAGGGTATTCTACCAGTAAGTAGATCACATATGCTGCACCAATTCCACTGTCAAAACTCGAACCGAATCAATAAATATATCCCATTCTCCTAGGCAAACATTTGGTCTCTGATATTCCACTGCTTTTCTTAATGCAGGATGTATATTGTTAATATTAAAGACAGAAAAACATATGTTATATGCAGTAAAACCTCCGTAAATAATAAAATCAAATGAACGTAATTTAAATTTATCACAAAAAGAATGAAATAGCCAGAAGCGCGGCGTGCCAGCCAATATGCAACGTAGACGTTTTAAAGCATCGAGACTTTTTTAAAGCATCTGGTCAGAAGCAGCAGCCGGGCTCTTTGCATTATATCTAATTTATTTCTGATTCGCTGCAGGTCCGTGGCCGTGGAACCTCAAGCCGCAGCTCCGTTTAATATAATGGGAGTAATAACTGTTTTGTAAATTAATCTAATAATTCTACTTTTCAGTGCTAATGACGCAGCTGAGAAATTTCTTTTATAATACATCAGAATAGGGTTAGTTCTTTTATAAATATCCCTAAAATGTTCTTCAAAATTCAATATACAATCGTAAAATCCAAAATATTTGAGGTTTCCAACACATTTAATTCTAACACCTTCGTATTTTAGTTGTGATGGTTTAGTTTTTTCCCGGCACTTTGGGTAAAACAAGAAATTAGTTTTTTATAAATTTAATCTAAGCTTTTTGTTTTCGATCTACAATATTAGATCTTCTATAGCAAACGGAAACAATTTCTCTAATTTTTTTCAAAGAGTTTTCAAGAATCACATATAAATTGTCATCAGCATTACAAAATACTATTCTTGCACAATTTGGACTCTCTTTCTTTAACAATCCATTCGGAGTTCCAAAGCCGCGGAGCACTGCAGGAACCCGGTGGGCATCCTTTGTAAACCGTTCTTTCAGTACAAATGTCCTTATTAATTCTGTAAACAACTTTCCTTTCTTAAAATTGTAAGGTCCCTCATTTGAAATTCTAAGTTTATGTTGGAAGTGAGGAACCTAGGAACTGATAAGCGAATAATCGCTAGAGTTCGAAGACAGGAAACAACAAGAGAGAAGGGTAAATAACCCTTATTATTCTATAAGATTTAACAAACTCCGCCTGGGAGTGTACAAATAAAGTCCGCACTTAGGACTTGAACTAAAAGACTAAAGTAACAAAAAAAGATAACTACTAAGTATAGCCAAAGCTATCAAGGTTCAATGAGAGTTGGCCTTTAACTTATTACTACGAGTTTAGCAAGGGCGTGAGTACGGGCCGAGCGTAAAACAGCTTTGAGAGAGAGAGCGGCCAAACAGGCAGACGCGCGTAGTTCAGAAACTTGTTTCTCTCTCTGTCTCATAAGTAACTTCGTGGTTTAAATACCGCTCTTCTCATTAAATGTTCAGCAATTCCAAAAACTACGTTCTGGCGGGAGTAGTAGTTGAAGTTAAGAATTTGACAGGAAAGGAACTTTAACTTAAAATTTAACTGTTAATAAAATTAACATAATCCTTACAAAATAACTAAGAAGGATTCTATAAATATTTTTGGGTAAGCCAAAATCTCTAAGGGGGGGGGAAAGAATATATGTTCATATAATAAAGTTAAAGGCTGCCGAGACATCGAAGGAGACCACAGTCACATAGAATGCAGATTTTTGTAAACTAATAATATTGTCAAGATCATAAACAGGATTTTCCGTGGAGCAGCCGGGTGTAAATCTGCATTGTTTTGTAGGTACAAAATCATTCTTTACTAGAAAGTAGTACAATCTATTTGTAACTTATCCAAAACTTTTGCACACAATTTTAACAAACATACAGATCTTGTCGCCCCACCAACTTTGGAATAAACAAAACTCACGGCAAGGCTTTAACAATAAAATCTAGCGCATAATCTCTCAAAAACACATACAGAGCAGAAAAATGTTGACAACCACACAAAATCTACGTACAAATACAAAAATGCAAAATTCAAAGCTCACGAGAAGGGTAAATAACTCAAGACATAAAAAATTCGAGTTAATTTTAGTTAATTTTCAAAAATTTCCCCTCGAACGCAGATTACGCTGAAAACACTTTCAAGGAAAAAAGTCAGATACAAAACTCAATGACTAAATTTACTTTCGCTCCCATTTGCTTAAATGTAAACACAATCCTTTTCGTTGAAACTCTGTTACTTTTAAAAGTAGTAAATACAAATACAAAAGATTAATATAAAATGCATGTTTAAATGTATTTAATATCTCGTATAACAATTAATAAGTACTAAAACTTCTATTTAATACTTTAGTTTTTTGTAATGCTTCTTCAGACTGTAAACTGATTAATACAGTAATACGTAGGTTGATCCAAAAGAAGTTTACAAGCAGAAGCATTTGAAACTTAATAATTGTGGAGCTAATATTTTCAACCAGGGTGGTTGACAGATGGCGCTAGTTGTTCTACTGTGGTTCTACGAGTAACTAGCGTCAGTACGCAACAAAGCTGGTTTGGTACGCAGACACTTAAGAGCGACAGTAATGGCACGACGTCTAGAAAAGTGGTCTCGCATAGAGGTGCGAGCCGTAATTCGATTCGTATGGTCCAAGAATGTGGCCGCCTCTGAAATTCACAGACAAATCGTTGAGGTATACGGGGATAAAGCAATGAGTAGACAACAGGTAGCGAAATGGTGTCGTTATTATCAAGCGGGCAGGGAGCATGTGGAAAACCGCAATATGGAAGCGAGCGGCCGTCCAAGTTCTTCAAGGACGGATATCAACACGGCACGCGTTTTGAAGAAATCATCCAAAGGGATCGATGAGTAAGCGTGCGTGAGATTGCTCAGAGTTGGACCTGAGTTATGGTAATGTTCAGCGTATAAACGATGAGTTGCGATAATGCAAAGTTTGTGCCCGCTGGGTTCCACGTGCGTTGTCCGGGAGCATAAGGCCACTCGAATGATGTGCAGCCTCACATTTCTTCAGCGATACCATTCAGACGGCCAAAACTTCATTGATCGCATCGTTACCGGTGATTGAACATGGCTTCATCACTTCACCCCCACATCCAAAAGAGGCACGATGGACTGGAAACACGCTGGATCACCGACGAGGAAGAAGTTTAAGGTCACACCCTCTACCGGTAAAGTGATGGCAACCTTTTTCTGGGATACGACTGGTGTTATCCTAATCGAGTGTTTGGAGAGGTGGCCATACCATTAAGGCCGATCGTTATTGTGCCACCTTAACGAAATTGCGTAAAACCATCCGACGCAAACGGCCTTGATTACTGAGCAAAGGCGTCATTCTTCTGCATGACAATGCCAGGCCCCATACAGCTCGCTCGCCAGACTCAGGAATTGCTGCAAAGGTTCAAGTGGGAGGTTTGGAATCACCCCCCATACAGCCCTCGATTTGGCTCCAAGTGACTATTTCATTTTTCCGGCGTTGAAGCGTTACTTTTCCGGAACACGGTTCACCTCAGGCGATGCAGTGAAAACAGCTGCCAAGAAATGGCTCAATGAGCAGGGCTCTGATTACTACCAAGACGGGATAAACAAGTTGGTCGAACGTTCTGATAAATGCCTAAACGGGTTTGGCGACTATGTGGAAAAGTGAAGGTCAGATGTGTCTCTTGATTCCCATTTGTATCTTGTTTCTATTGTTAATAAATACTTTTTCATTTGCCTTGTAAACGTTTTTTTGGATCACCCCTCGTACATTTAAAAGCAAGAGAATATGGCCAGAATATAAAATTTCTAATGCCACATGAAAGTATGGCTTTATTTTGTTTACATAATCAGTTTACATTTCCAGACTTTAAAAATGTTAAATAAAAGTCAGCAATGTTTTATAAAAGTCAACAATGTTTTATAAAATGTTTTATATAAGTCTTTTAAAGTTCCTGTACAGTTCAGTTCTTCAAATGTCAAGTAACCATAGACAACAAGTAAATGTAGTAGACAACAGGTAGCAAAATGGTGTCGTTCTTATCAAGCTTAGATGTTGCAAGTCCTTGTTGTCTGTTTGGGTACTGATGCCCGTAGCAAATCAAAAACTGGTTATTTAATAAAATCTTCGTCATTAATTTCTCTGTATAAAACCTCTTTTATGGCAAAAATATTTCTTTCTCTGATATTAGTATGTCGATGTCTTCAAGATCTGGCTTGCTAAATCGATTTCATACATCAGGATTTTATTTACTTCTTTTCCTGAAATGCTTATTGACTTTCTTTGAAACTGCAAAAATCAAAAAAAGGAAAAGCCCTTGAAAGGAATTTAGCACTTCAAATATGTCCCAAATGATATTATTGTATGAGACAGTAGCAAAAACTCCAACCATCCAGGTAATACCCATCAGTGAGCCCAATTTAAGGTAAAGAAAAAAATTAATCCTCTCAGCATTCACCTGTTGGTCATTTGAGTTCTTCATTGCATTGCTGTTTATCAAAAATGCAGTCAACACAAAGAATATGCTATTCATTGTAACAAGAGTGAAGGCGGGAACTGAAAAAAATATAATTTGTGCTAAATTCACAACAATCCAGCATATATCATCAAATCCAAAATGTGGTTTATACGCTTGTGGAACATTTTCTATATTATCAATCATGACACTTGTGAGAGAAATAGCTAATGGAACACTCCAAGCATACAAGGAATAAAACAAGAACCGCTTCCTTCTGAAATTACTGGTGATAGCCGAGTTAATGCGAGTTAACGTTCGCATTCTTCTCCACATATCAAAAGCTATCACATTCATCCAGAAAAACGACGCTAGAAAGAAATATTTCTGGAGTACTGCTACGATAACACAGTAAACACCCACAATGTCTCGTATTTGTGCTATAAGACTAATAGAATAAGCCAGTAGAAGTGCAATACTCAAAGAAAATAAATTGTAACTAGGAAGGTTACGTAGAGATGGTATTATACAAAAAATCACTAAGTGAGACAACAATGCAAGTATGGATATATAAACTCCAATTTTGACGAAGTAGTTAGATAACCAGTTATAATCTGATTCTCTATAAGGAAAGCGGTGATTTGCAGAAAAGTTATGAATCGAAAAATCATAATCCATAGCACATGTAATTATTCCATCATCATCGAATTTATAGGTTCCATTTTCTAATATATCACCATACAGCAATATAGACCCATTAGCGAGAATTTCGTACTCTTGTGCTTCGTAGAAAACTTTATCGCAACGGTGTAGAATATTCTTTTGTATTATTTCCCAGACATCAATACAAATGAAAAAATGTCGGTTAAGAATACAAAACTCTGATGAAGGAAGAGTTGTGTTGATAAGTTCTATAAAAGCATCTCCGTTTTCTAGTAACGCAATGTTAGCATTCAATTCACGTTTTTCACATGTTATATTTTCTGTTGAAGAACCGAAATCTTTCATTTCGCAATTAATTTTTGAGTTCTTTATATCTGCCTCTGAAGTTGTGACTGCTAAATTTCCAAAAATGATGACGATAGTGCAATAGAACTCAAAGTGATGCATTGCGTCCAAAACAATGTTTTCCTTCATACGTGAAGATAAAAAATTGTATAATGAAGGAGTTCCCACAACATAGGTAAAATCTTCAATCTCTAATGTTGTAATACTAACTCCTTTTTTATGCAGATGAAATAATTTTTCGTTTTTAATAGCTCAAATGAGAAGATCTGGAAAGAAAAGAAAATATATGGGTGAAGCTTTGATACATACAAATACATATACAGGAATATACCTAAATATTCAACAACTTTACTACTTTTTAAATATATATATATATTTAATATATATTTTCATTTCCAAAATTGTATCTGTTAATGAATATTAACAGTAAATCAGTAGATTGCAGGCATTAGAATAGATTTTTTATAATACTAGTTCATTGGAACATTTTGAAAATGTATATCACTAAAGCGTTTGCTTTCGTTAATATTTGCTTCTATTCAAATTTGTTGCTAACTTTACATTGGTTCATTTATTGGTTATTTGAATACGGCAAAGCACACAACGGCTATCTTCCTAAGGAGAGGATTGCCTTTCTAGAGAACCTTTCTAAGAGAGGCTGCCTCGTGTTCATGCTACATATGGGAAAAATCAACCTTGCAGCCAGCTTGTTTGCTTGAATTCGAATCAAGGACGAACTGCCAGTATTCAGCTGCTTTTAGCCGCTCCACCACTGGTGGAGATTGCCCGCTTTTCACAACTATGATTTCATTATTAGAGAGCAGTGGTGAACTGTGGGAGCGAAATTTGTTTAAATGACATAAATGCGAGTGAAATGAAGGCCACATAAGATTTAAAAAAATATATTCCTTGAATTAATAAATAAAGCGAATATTGTTTATAAATTCCTGATAGTATTTGCTTATTATCATCCTTCGAAAAGCAGTAATTGTAATTTGCCAATAATCATCTGGTTATCTCTTGTAACTATGTACAAAGTACTGCAAAGTAAATCTTCACAATTTAAAAAAAATCCAACAAACAGGATGTAATAGAAAACTGTTCTACAGGCAACGTCAGTGGCTTCTCACATCGCAGAATATACTACTGATTGGTAAACGTAGACTTGATTGCCAATTCACCTTTTTGAACAATGTTTACAGCTCTGGAATGGCTCTTGTCATACTGTCATCTCAGTCTCACCATCCATATCCACTCTGCAACTAACCTAGCGGCAATGCCCAGTGTACGCAAATAGCATTCATTGCTCATAAGAATTAAAGAATATTGACATGATGATAAATGATTAAAAATAACTTGTACAAATGCACATTTAACATAATTACCATGTTTGACAGATGATTAATCTAAAAATGTTGTAATAAAAATTTACGGAAATTTAAAAATAAGGAAAATATTATCTCTCTTGTTCTGTAACAAATCTTTATTTGATATGGTGTATAGCCAACTCTAACAGGAATTCATACCTCACATCTTAACTTCATAGAGTTTAACAAATTGTTGATCAAGTCTTTATTATTATTGTTGTAATTATTTTTAACACCCCTACTCTATAGCCAATGACCTGAATCTCATACAGCTTATTTGCTACAAAGCTGAAATCTATTACCTGCCAGACAACGATACCATAAAACCAGACCATTTCATTTAGAGCATAAGTATGTTATATTTTTACATGGAAATGTAAAATAATCACAGAATACAGTTAAGCTAATAATGCCCACTTCTATTAAATCTTATGCACGTCACTGTACTGAAAGTGCACTTCTTAAATCCTAAAGGCATTTGGTGCAATTCATCTGTCTAAGCCGTCCCACGTGTGCTCAGTCAGGTTCAAATGTGGTGAGAAAGTTGGTCAATCCGTTTGAACGACATTTTCAGTTTCCAAGTATTCTGACACCAGATATGCTCAGTGCAGAAGAGTGTTGCTATTGATAAAGAAACAGTCTAAGTCAACAACAGTCCTAAACAGCTTTACATGGGATTGCAAGACCTTGTCTGCTTATCTGTGACTGATACAGAACCCCCATCAAAGATATACTCTTTGCAACCATTTCTGGTAGTTTCATCCAAAGCAATTAATCTGCTTTTGTGAAAACAGGATCTTTTATGAATAAGGAAAGGCAAGCTGCGTATTTCTTGCTCCGTCGAGATGAAACCACATCTAGAATCATATGTCAAGCCGTATCTGCACTTTTGAGTAAGTTGAACAGTCCCATTCCGCAAGTTAACTGTGTTAAACATGACAGCAAGACCAATGTAAATATTCCCCTCTTGAAGTTGAAATGAGTGGATCATAAAACTTTTTTCCTTCTAGCACAAAATCCAACCTTCTGAAGTCTTCACTGGTAGAACGACTGATTCGATTTCCTGTGACAGACTGAAAGTCTACCTGTCTGTCTTACTAGAACTATTTTGCAGAAAACGGCAAGAATGCTGGGATAATGACAACACCAGTAGACGTACACAGTTATAAATATCAAAGGTCAGAGCAGTACTTCGGAGCAGTAGTGCGTCATTCATTCAATTTATATCGGGACGTGACCCATTCCTTTCACACTTAAATAAATTTGACGTCATGGACACAGATGCATCTGCCTATTCCCAGTAAGGTAACCCGGAATTTCACCTAAGAATGCCCCAATAATCAGAAACAGCACCTGGGGAACCAACTCTTGAGTACTTGTCATGGGCCAGTAATACTATCACAAACACAAATTCCAAAACAAAGGTTGCCTCAGTAATGTCACAATGCGCAGCCAACTGTGTCAGTGGCTCAGAACTCGTATCCCAAGCTTAGAACATTGATAATGAATGATATTCATCGACGCTTACCACAGTGAACGGCACAATGAGCAGAGTTCGCAAGTCAGTATAACACATCAAGATTAATGAATTATGTTACAATATTCATGTACCGTAATGCATAAAATTTAATGTACTGTAATATCTGTTATTTTGTTCAGCGAGGTTACTATATCACAAAATATAGTTAATGTATTGTTTGCACGATTAATTTAATGTACTCCATGGTCATGTGTTTTATTGTAATATTGTTTGTTAACTGTGAGATAAACAACATATTACACTCATGTCCAAAATTATCTTTACATACCCAAAAATGATGATATTCAATGAAATATCGAATCAATGTGATCCGTATTTGCAGGGATGTGTGAAAACCAACCTAATTAGCATTATCCAATCAAAAGTAATCAAACGGTTTGTGATATGCAAATCTAGGCGTTACGTCATCCAAGGGTGAATCGAGCGCTTTGCGCAAACGAATATTTGAGTGATTTCTGAACATAGCGTTTGATTTCAGTGTGTAGGGACTCAAAGCGGTTTTTTATGGCTTCGAAGTATCATTTGGAGAATCTGTAAAGTGGCGAATATCGGCCGTTTAGAAGCAGGGCAGTCAATCATGGAAACAGCCACATGTCTGAATATTTCGAGACAGACAGTCTCTAAGCTATGGAAACAGTTTCAAATGATGGAAGTGTTGTAAGGAGGCCGGACAAGTCGGAAACGAATGACAACTGCTTTGAAGATCGGATTGGCATTAATGCCCGTCGTACAGAAAGGCTACTGCTCGCCAGTTAGTTCAGAGCCTGCAGCCGCCCTGGAACTGTTGCATCACGGCAAACAATATACAGAAGGCTTATGAAAAAGGTATTTATGCCAAAAGCCAAGGGTATGTGTTTTCTGTCTTCACAGAAAAGAGGGATCGCTTTATTGGTGTAAAGAACATAAACTGGACGAACATCAATGGTCCCGTTTCTTTACTATTCGCGGTTTAGTTTAACTGGTGATTTAAGTTTACATCAGTGGGAGTCAGGAACACGAAATGATTCTCGAACACATGTGGAACGTGAACCGTTTCGTAGTGGGGTGTATTGTCTGGGGGATGGGAATAATGATCGATGGCGACCCCCTACACGTGTTCAGCAGCGGATCTGTGACAGGCAGATAGTATCGAGATGAGGTCTTAGTTCTTATGTAAGACTTTTCAGGGGTGCATATGGACCTGACTTTTTATTTATGATGAATGCCGTCCACATCCAGCAAACCTCGTTGATGAGTCCTGAAAAAAGACATTAAGCGAATACCTTGGCCACCAACTCTCCTGACCTTAACCATAGAGAACTTATGGGACTACCTTGGAAGATCAATTGCGCGTACCATCCTCCTCCTAGAGCTTTAAATGCTCTGAAGAGGCATTCGGAAGAGTGGATTAATTCCCCAAACTGGTTAACAACGTATTTCCAGCCTAACACATTGTGATATGTGTGTACAAGTCAGGGGAGATCTATTCCTATAAATTCGTAAGACTTAATTTTTTTCTGAATCATTCCTTTTTTCTTAACTCTCTTGTCACACTTTATACCATTTTTATTGTTATGCTACAATTTTATATCATATGAGGTGATCTTCAATTTTTTCTTTTGCATTTATGTGTCATCATGTTATGTATGATTCCACGAAAATTCATTAAATTATAAGTCATAGTCTCTGAGAAATCCGTGAATTTATGCGTGTAAACATAATTTTGGACATGAGATTATTTTATATGCCAAATTTGCCAAGTATATTTTATATACATAACATGATGTGTACAAATGTACATCGACCAAAGACTGTACCTTCGCGAACCATCAAGAAAGGTGATTTAGTATTTGTAGAGGACCAGATTTGTAAAGAACTGACTGGCCTATGGGTTGTGCAATCGAAACATACCCAGGAAAAGACAACATCAGAGTGGCTAAAGTAAAAACATCTAGTGGTGAGCTGCTAAGACCAGTTCAGAGAATATTTCCAATGGAGATAGACAATAAAGGATCTATCTTCGAGCTTAAAACTACTGAATCATCCACATTTTCGAGAAATATAGTAAAAATGATGATTTAGTAATTGATACCAAAGACTGTGAACTTGAAAATTCTGATAAAAATATTCAGTTTAGTACATGTGGCTAAAAAATTTTGAAACCAAAGAACTTTAAAAGCATTAATTAGTTTTAAATTGTTTTCAGTACTATTATTATTTCTTTTCACTTTTCTTTATTCTTTTCTTTGAACTTAAAATTTGTATACAATTGATTTTTCCAGTTTAGTGAATTATTTTTTTACTAGTTTTCAGAAAAGAATTTTTGCCTGTTGTTTAAAGAGGTAATTGCAGAATATTAAGTAAGTTTAAAATATTCAAGATATTTGTTACGCCTAGATAAAACTGTTAATTTTTGGTAAGATTTAAATTACTCATCTTATATTGCTATTTCAAATTTCATCTCAAACTTTTCTTGATTTTTTAATTCTTTGTCAAAAATCAGAAGGTGGGAGAAATGTTACAACTCGAACGCGAAATGAGCGAACTTTTCGCTTCTGCAAATGGCAACGGGGAGTCGAAAACGGACTTGGAAGGGAGTGGTCGTTTACTCGGCTTCTCTTAATACAATTTGATTCGAAGGGGGAATAATCCCCATTTTTTGATTTAAAATTTTGAATCTTGAATTATGTAAATATTGTAAAATAACAGATGTGCGTAAATAAATAGTCATTAAGACTAACTTTGGAGTCGTGATTCGAATGTGAATTGAATAAATGAAATCGAAAGCTCTAGAAACTTCAACATAATAGAACTCTTGGATTAGAAACAAAACTTTGTGAGGTGAACTGAATTTGCTTTATGTTTTACAATATCGCTTTTTAATTAAATTGATCTGCTTCTTCTTCCATTAATCTAAAATTTTAGATTAAATCCAAATGAAAGTCATTCAGTTTGTCCAAAAATTTGCATACTACCTTAAAGTAAATAAATTTGGGTATATTTCTAAAAAATTAAAGATTTTTCTTCAAAGACTTCGTACATGTACTTATTTAAATATCTAAAAAATGGTTTGGCGATTAACTCGAAATTGGCATAGAATTAAAATCAGGCCAAATCTTAACAACGTTCCGTTTTACACTATTTAGGGTCTCTTCATTTGCGTTTATTTTTCTTTCCACTTCATTTTCAATGAAATTCACCATATTGATTTTCAACAGCGTGATAATAATTTAAATTAAAAGACACCAAACTAACAATTTTTTGCAAAATTATAACTTAAAATTTTTAAGAATGGTATAAGGAAAGCAGAAATTATGCTTACTTCCGTTAGCATATCGTTTCCATTTTACCTACAGATACTTTAAATACTATTTTCTATTCAAATGATTTGAATTCATTCAATGAAATTCAAGCTTTTTGCCATATTTTCATCCAAAATGCTAAACTTTCGCTTTTAAGTAACTAAGTAAAAGAAAACAGCACTCAAATTTGCATAAAATCTATGTTGATTTTCTACATGACAGTATGTCAGTTTCACAGAAATATTTCATGTAGTACACTTCTTTTCCCAGTATATCAGATTCTTAATTACTATATCATTTAGTAACTTTCGAGTATTAAAAAAGGGGGAAGGAAGAAAGGAAAAGAAAAGAAAATCTGAAAGAATTTAGATTTAACGTCGCACAGAGGGTTTGTTATGGTTTAAATGCTCTTGCTGAGCTTGCTGTTTATCAATCTGCTCTTGAACTCACTCCTGTTAACTCAAATCTTTTGTATTTTTGACTTTATTATTAAACATGACTTCACAATTACGCCATACAAAATTCAATAGTAAAATCACAAAATTTTTAAAGCCAATATGTTAGAATTTCCAATAGAGTGTTATACATTTTTCTATTTTTAGTCTTTTCTCAGTTCATACTATCAATGTTCAGTTTTCTTAATAAGATGACTTACACACTTTTATTTTGTTATTATTAATTTTTATCCTTTTCAAAGTTCACTTGCAAAATCATAAAATATTTTTAAAAAATATCTTGAGAATTGCTGATATAATTTCAAGTATTGCTATGAAAAAAGCAATTAAACACATATGCAATATTTGCGCGTGCAGCTTCATAGGAAAATAATAAACGCCGCTAACAGCATGAAACATGACATTGAGCACTCTAAAGCAGTGAAAGGAACTAAGCTTGGCCAGATGTGATGAAAATGCAGTCATTTAATGCGCAATTAAATGCCATACCCTACCAGCGCAAGCAGGTTATCATATTACTTAAGCAATAGTGTATAATGTATTCCTGTTATAGCCATTGCGTTTAAAAAATGTTTAATGTGTAATCTGGGCAATGTTGTAAATATCCCACCTGTCCAAGTTCGAGCATAAAACAGAACAACTGATGACACCACCAGCGGTGGTAGAGCTTACGATGTCGGTTGCAGCAAACAATAGCAGCAGCTCGGCAACAGAACTGCACCGTTGCCCCCAAAAGGCGAGGTTAATCAAGATAAATAAATAGTGTAAGGGACCTTTACTTATTTAATTCAGAAAAATAATTTGTGGCCGCTGCACTTGTACCTAACCTGACCTAATTTTTTGTATTCGCTGTATTATTTTTTAAAGTAATACATGGGGATAACATTTAATGACAGCATTCAACATATTTTATATTCGCTGTATTATTTCTTTAAAAAACATATTTCGATAATATTTAGTGACAGCATCCTCTTATTTCAAGAATGATACAGACACAAAAGTAATACGGACGGAAAAAATGGGGATCGAGACTAATAACAGTTCCAGTGCTAAATAATGTTCAGTGTTCATTGAAAAATTCACCTTATACAGTTCTGCCGAAACTTTATGCATAAAAGATATGATTAAGTCTTTCGAACCTGTAAATAAAATTATAATGTTTGAAAATACTTTTCAAATGCGCAATCACACATGCTCAATGATTATTGATTT